CTGTCCTCTAGGCTCCTCCTTCCTGTCTTTGTTAATTCATCCCTTCTACCATCCCCTTCTTGGCACCCAGTGCATCCACCCAGTGCCCAGCTAGGCACTGCGGCTATGTAGACAAATCACATAGGCAGAGCCCTTGCCTTGAGGTACCCTCAACCTGTGGGTGAGCAGACCAGAGCTGACCCAAAGTGACTTCTTGCTCAGGAAACACAGGACAGGCTGAGCTCTAATAGCTGGGAGGGGTAAAGAAGGGTAACTCAGAGGAGTGTCATCTCCCATAGAAATGAGAGATGAGCAGGTAGCCAGATGAAAATGTCAGGGGACAGGGGAGAGCAGAACCAAAGCCTAGAACAGGAGGAGGGGAAGCCAAGAGCTAAGATATTCCTTAGATGAAGACATTGCCAATATTCAGCAAACCTTCAGAACAACTTGGGGAGGCAAGGAATCTCCACTATCACCATCCTCACTCTACAAAGAGAGAAACTGAGGCACCTCGTGGCCAGGCACCCTGCCGGAGACGCTATAACAAACGATGGAGTCCTGCTTTGAACCCAGGCCATCTAGCTCCTGGGTCCACACAACATGCAACTAAATCACGGTGGCAGAGTGGCAAGGGAGTAGGAAGGCCTGAGGCCGGTAACAGGATGGGCCTGCTGAGGGAACACACAGTGAGAAGAGTAGCCAGTCTCCCCTGCATCATACTTGCTTGCTAAAGTGTCCATGAGTTTGGTGACTAAGTTGTTGTGTCAGAACAACAAAGGCAGAAGAAACCCCACCGCCTCTGGCTAGGACATGCTCTCCTGAGTGATTCACATCCCCACATTTTGTTCAAGCCACTGTGGAGGTTAACATTAGCTGAGCTTGACAAGAAGGTCTGGGTTTTCGGTATGTCTGTAGGGGAGTTTCTAGATTATGTTAGTCGAGGTGAGAAGACCATTCTAATTGCGGTAGCGCTCTTGCACACGGGCTGAGGCCCTGGGTTTAACGAGAGGTCCAGCAGAGAGAGCGCCATTCATCCCTCTCTGAGCTTCATGACTATGGATTTAATGTGACCAGCGTCCTCCCCACCAAATCATCACGTCCTCCATGACTTTCCTGCCACAATAGCCTGTATCCTTGAGCTGTTGGTTTTTGTGAAGCTTTTTGTGAGATATTTTGCCACAGCAACGAAAGTAACTCGTGCAGCTACCTTCTTGGGCTTGGTCAATCCAGCACAAAAGGCCTCCCCAGGGGTCGCTCTGCTAGGTGGAAAGAGTAGAGCTGTGGACTCTTGTTTCTATGGCTCTCGCGGCTTCCGGTCGCGGTTCCTTTCACTCTGCAGCCTCCTGATGCCTGCAATCTCTCCCACCGCTCCAGCCCACACTCGCCTCTCCCTTCTCTCAGCTCGCATGGCACTTATTGTAAGGCACACACAATCGACTCCTGTGTGCATTGTTCTCTGTTTTGCGTTCACTCATCCGTGCTGCTCTCCCGAATTGTCTGGGGGTGAGTCATAATTTGGGTGACTGTTAAATGTTTAGCGCTTTATGTACAAAAACTTTAAAACCCCAGTATTCTGGACACTAAAGAGAATATCTCTAACTGCTCACTCTGCCAGTCCACACTCTCTCCCTGCACACTTCATCATTAGCTAGAAAACGAAGGAACCAAGGATGCCTTGCTCCTAGCCAGGCGAAAAGATGCCAGACCTGCCAAGAGCAGGAAAAAAGAGGGAGTGGGGGTGCAACATGAAGTTTGAAGTTGAATACAACAAATGTCTTTATACCTTGGTGGGTTTCAAACAAGGACAAGGTGGGGAAATCAAGACAGTCTCTGACCCCCGTCCAACCCTTAGCCTTGGCAGAAGAATTAAAATGACCCGGCATAGAGCTCTATTAAAAGTCTAAGAAAGTATGCAGTAGAGCTGTGACTATATACAGCCCGGTGATAGAGTGCTTGCCTAACTTGCATGTAGCCCTGGGACTGGTTAATACATAAACTAGGCTTGTGGGGCGCTCAGAGAGAAGGAAGAGGATGCCAAGTTCAGGGTCATCTTTGGTTGCATAGTAAGTTTAAAGCCAGCTTGGGCTACAGGAGACCTGTGCCTTTAAAAAATATGTAGGCATGTAGTATGTAAGTATGTGTGTATGTATGTATGTATGTATGTATGTATATCCACAGAGATGCATCAATAGTTAAGAGCACTGGTTACTTGTTCAGAGGACCCAGGTTAGATTCCCAGCACCCACCTGGTGGCTCACAACCTACTGTAACTTCAGCTCAGGAGATTCAGTGCTCTCTTCTGACCTCTGAAGGTACCATATGTACGTGGTGCACATACACATGTCGAAGCAAAATGCTCTTACCCATAAAATAAATAATAATTTAAAATGTAAATATACATACATAATGTAGAACATGCCTGACTGAGGACCTGACGAACGTTGTTTGAATGTGTGATTGTTAAGATTCGCTGCTGCGCAGGTTCTAAGACATGTGGCCATGTGCTCCTGATGTCTCAGGTTTTTCTCACTATCTCTTTGTAAGTTTGTTCTATTTTATCAAGTGATTGCTTTGATAGAAGTGTCTGGATCCCAGGGTAGCCCTCGAAACCTGAGTTCCCTTCAGAATCACCTGCTAGCAAAGCAGAGTTGATGCTGACGTCTTCTGATTGGCTACTTCTGGGGTTGTGGCCTAGGAGCCCCCGAGAGTGGACCTGTTGCTAAAAGTCCTGCCCCAAAGGCGATATAAACAATGTATTTGCCTTCTCCTAAGGTACCAATGACAAATTGAGTATGATTTCACCAAAGTGGGGGAAATCAAAGAGGTTTTGGGCTTACTTACAGAGGGTAGATGAGAGGTTACTTACAGGAGTGTGGGTGCTGTCCCCCAACAGGCTGTACAAGGACGGTTTTGGGAAAACCCAAACTTGCATAGATGGAGTCACACAAACCTAGTCTTCCCTGCCCTGTATACTCTAGCCCCTCCTGGAGGCACATGCAATTAGGGCAGACTTGCCAACCACAGGGGCTATAGAATGGCTGGATACTCATCTGAGGGTCCTGTGACCCTCTCTGACCCTTCTTCTTTTAGTGGATGTCAGTCATCAACTAGCCTAGCTGGAATGATCTTTTGCAAGTGGACACAAATGAACTCTCAAAGATGGTGGTTGTTTGGGCTCAGTGGATAATCCAGCACGGCACAGCTTTGCAGAACTGCCAAAAATGGGGGTGCCTCCTCTATCCTTGACTGAGCTCCAGGGCCTACCCCTTACTCTCTTCTAAGCTCCTGTGGGTGCAGTTCTCCAAGTGGCTGCAGTGGGCCATGAGGGGCAGCGAGTCCCAAGCAGGGAGCCATGTGGTGGGTGAGAGACCTCGATGGGGCAGCCAGTCCCACGAATAGGAAGAGAGACGAATGGGCACCCCATGAAACCAGGCCGCAGGTCCCCAAAGGTGGCTGGTCCCGGGCAGGAAGCCACGCGGTCGGGGCGAGAGATAGAGACATGGATAGGTGCGCCATGCAGAGTTAGGTTGGATATTATTTAGTGGGTTATGTAAGGAAAGGGGAGAAGGGAAAAGAGCAGAGAGAGAGTGGCAGAGGGGGGGAGGGAGAGAGAGAAAAACAGAAGCAGGGGAAGGGGAAAAGTAGGGAGAAGGAGACAGAAGCTGCTTCTTCAAGAGGGAGATAGAAAAGGACTGGAGCTGAAAGATGAAGATCAGCTTGCCTCAGCAGACAGGGGAGGGTGTGGGCGTGGCTTGTCTCTTAAAGGGACAGAGCAGACCATTACAGAAACAAGTCAGAACATTCTTAGAGTTCAGTCCCTACCAGAGCCTGAGAGGCCCAGGTGAAGCAGCCACAGCAACACTTCAGGGAGGAACTTTGATACCTACACTGCATAAGTGCTTTGCTGCTGAATAGTTGGGTGACCAGGCTGTGCCTCATTTCCTTTTTCTTTGGATTGGAGATGGTGATTACAACTGTATTTGCTGGTCAGGTGGTGGTTGTGCAAACCTTTAATCCTAGCACGCGTGGAGGCAGAGACAGGCAGATCTCTGTGAGTTCAAGGCCAGCTTAGTCTACAGAGTGAGTTTCAGGACAGGCTCCAAAGCTACGGAGAAACCCTGTATAGAAAACTCCCCAAAAAACCTAACACAGGATAAACAAACAAACAAACAAACAAAACTGTATTTGCTTTCTAACGGCATTAAGTATATTAAATGAGTAAATCCTTGCAGGACTTAAATCGTGTGTGACACTCATTACTACTCAATAAACGTCAGTTTTTCTGTGTCGTGGGATTTCAAGTGTCCAAATGTTTCTTTTGGACACAGAGGCGGAATTCTCTGGAGACTCTTATATCTTACAATTTCATGATGTATCAGTGTTTCTGATTTCATATCTTAACTATATGAGCTTGTACATGATAAATATTTAGATGAAAGCGAAGATTTTTAGGGGGTAGGGTACAGAGAAAGGCAAAAACTTGTCCAATGGCGCCTGGAGAGATGTCAGAGCATCCTGACTTATTGAAAAAGAATGGGTCCATCTGCCCTTCTGGAGAGTGCAACCCTTTGACAATTTCCCTTCAAATATCTCTATCCCCCCAACACACACACACACACACACACACACACACACACACACACACACACACCTCCTATGCTCAGGGCTTGCTGCTTTAATTTAGGTAATCTTGAAATTCACTGCCTTAAAAGCAGGCATTTTATCTGACCTTCCACATGGAAATTCTTTCCTTTGGAATTTCTATGTGTCCAGCTCCACCCAACCCACAGAACCGTAAACGCTTGCGTGTCGGCAGCCTGGCCTCAGGGATTCCAGAAATAACGTCGGGCCCTAGCTAGAGCACTGGAGCATAGTAAGGCATTTCTGTACCGAGACAGAGTCGCTTTCCAACCAGGCCTCTCCCTGACAAAGCACAAAGCAACCTTTACTCGTTGGCTGGGGAGGGGCAGCTGGGAGGGAATAGAATTTCTGGAAAGTTTGTCCTTTTCCGTCAAACCTACCACACTGGAGTCTCCAGCTACGTTGGCTTCCTCTTAGCTTTTGAATTCAATTTGCTTTCAGTGGCGGTCACTTAAGATCTTTGAACCCTTGGGAAACAACTGGAATTGGAATCTCAGCCGCCTGAGCCCAGGTGGCAATTTCCTTCTGAAGTCAGGCAGGACAGCCACCTCACTTGGAGTTGGGGCGTGTTTGTGGTTGAAGGGCTGGAGAGAAAAGAGCGATTTAAAAAGAAATGTTAGTCGTGATCCTGAATACATAGCATCCGGGGCAAATATTCTCATTTCAGAAGGGTGTTTATCAAAGTCAACACAAGGGGAGAATTTTGGCTTTATAAGAATCTTCGAAAAAAAAAAAAAGCATGGAAAAAAAACCCCACCACACCCAAAAATCGAAACCTTATACACTTGTGTGTGTGTGTGTGTGTGTGTGTGTGTGTGTGTGTGTGTTTAGACAGTAACCTGGAAAGGAAAGGAATGTTTTTTAAAAAATGTTTCGGGAAGCAGGTAATCATAGCTGTGTTTCTACAAATCGTGCTTAATGTCATTTTTCATTTTTTAGAAAAAGCTTAACTGACTCTGCCACGCGGACCTGCCAGGATCTCCTACATCTATCCACCTTTCCACAAGGGAATTCCAGGCTTTAGGGTGCCTGCGAGAAAAACTCGTATTAAGCCACTTTCTCTGGGAACCAAATATTTTCTAATGGGGATGGGGTTATCTCTAATTTGGAGTCGGAATAGGAAAGTCATAAAGGCTGCATGTTAAGCGTCTGGGGTTCCAAACCTTTGTCAAGAATAGGAAGGTGGAAGAAAGAAAGGCGCTTGTGCAACCAAACGGCCAATTATGTCACCCTGCGAGGTCCAGCCGCAAGGCGCCGTAGCCAGAGAGCTGCAACGCCCCATCTGCAGTGGTCGCTGCAGCAGGACACGCGGCCGCAGCCGCGGAGGTCGAGTGCACCTCCGGGTCCCGTGCCGCACCCAGGAGTGCCGGGCTGGCGGGGAGGATGAGGGGAGTTGGTAAAGGCATCGCCATGGCAACAGTGACGTCCATTCACCCTGGATCTAATTGGAGGAAACCCCGTGGCCGAAGCCGCAGCCTGCGGGCCAACCGAACCTACCCGAGCCGACCCACCCTCCGAGCCTCCGCTTCTCTTCCCGCCCCGCCCCCCTGCGCCCCCTTCCGCGCGCTCGCTTCTCATTGGCCAGTCAAGGTACTGGAGGCGGGACTCCCCGGGGAAATGCGGAACACTATTGGTCGGCGGCGCGCTCGTCGGCTCCGCGCTAGGCTGAGACGGGAGGGTCCTCGGCTAAAGCCCAAAGCACATCAAAGTGGTGGGACTCGCGTCGCGGCCGCGGAGACTAGAAGGTGAGTACGGGCGCCGCCGAGGGGCCGCCGCTCTCGCCGCAAGGGATCGGGGCCGGGGGTAGCGGGGCACGGTCCGAGGGGCTGCT